TATTCTGGAAATCGTTTTTCATTTCCGAAATTATTTCTGAAATTGCTTTTCAAGTTCTGAAATTCGATTTTCAATTTCGGAAATTATTTGCATTTCGAAAATTATTTCTGAAATTCGTTTTTCAAACTCCGAAATTATTTCTGAAATTCGTTTTTCAAATTCCGAAATTATTTCTGAAATTCGTTTTTCAACTTCGAAATTTTCTGGAATTTGTTTTTCAATTCCGAAAATTCCCGAAATTCGTTTTTTTTTTTTCCAATTTCGAAATTTCTTATTTTTTTCGGAAATTCTTCTTCATATTTCGGACATTGCTTTCCGGGAAACTCCTCTCACAAACACTTGTTTTCAAACTGCGTATACTCTCACTTCACATATTCCGAATTTTTTGGAAATTCCTGGGCTTGTGGAATCGTATCTTTTTCGCAAGTTCAGCGTTTCCGTTATCTCCATTGGAAATTTTGATTCATTTGCAGCCTAAAATTCGAATTTTTTTTTTTTCAAATTGACTGCTGAGGGGATATTTTGGGGGCCTACCGAGCTTGCAAATTCGATTTTTTTTTCTTTTTCGAAATCACTGCAAGTTCCCAATTTTTTTTTTTCGATTAGTGGCTCCATATCTGGGCGACCCATTTTGATTGCCCACCCCCTTTCTCTCCACCCCAACCCTTCAACCCTTCTCCGTCCTTCTTACCTGCCCATTCACCTGCAGTTGCAGGCCAGGTAAGTCCTCACTTCAGCAGGCCACGTCCGGGACCTGCCGCGCATGACCATACTTACTCGCTCGCAGACAGCAGCGATGGATCAGAAGGCAGGCGAGGCCGACGAGGCCTACGAGGCACGGCTGGCGGCCATCTTGGCCGACACCAAGCAGCGAGCAGACGCAGCGGCAGCAGCACGGAAGAAGAAAGAAGCAGAGGCAGAGAGACTACGTCTTCTGGCTGAAGAACAGCGACAGAAGCACGAGGCAGCAGCAGCCAGGGCCGCTGATGAGGAACGCGTACGGCGACGGGAGGTCATCTTCAGGGAGGAAAGTGCATTACACGCACAGGCCAAGGATTGGCAGAAGGAGGCCGAGAACGGCGATCCCGTTGACGTCGGGAGCAGAGTATCTCAGCTGCTCAACCGTGTCACGGACCTCCTCGCGACTTGCATCGCGCAGCAGGAGGATATCTACTCTCTCGACCACACCAACAAGGCGTTACAGCAGTCGCTGGACCAGACGCGCAAGCGCGTTCAACAGCTGGAGCAGCGGGTCGCTAACGCCAATGCCAACGTCGGCCCCTCCGACCTCGTCGACCGCGTCAACATCTTGGAGATAGACGTGGGGACACTCAAGGCCGGGGCGCAACAGCACGTCTGTGCCGCAGCCAGCTCCAGCACGGCGCCACGCGAGACCATTGTCAAGTTTGACGGGCTCCCGATCTTCTGTGACGCATCGAAGACGGACCCCATACAATGGTGGCGCTAGTTCGAACTCAAGCTGGACCTCCACCACGTCGCCAACAAGAACCGGCACGCCTGTCTGTACTCCCGCTCGGGAGGCGCGTGTCAATCATGGCTGGACAATATGCTGTCCGCCCATGCATGTACAGTCACCGAGTTGCATAAGTACATCACCTGGACGGATCTCACGGCGGCATGGAAGAAGCGTTTCCAAGCTGAACCGCCCGAGCACAAGGCGATGGACAAACTGCTGACGTTTTCGCAGAACAGCATGCCAAGCGGAGACTGGATTTCCGAGTTCCAACGCCTCGCAAGCACGCCCAAGCTGCCGCTGAACTTCGACGGCATCAAGCTCTATTTCATTAAGAGGTCGTGCCCGGCGTTGCAGAATGCGTTGACTCATGTCGCCGACACCCTCACTACAAGCGAGGAACTCTTCAACAAGGCCGCGCAGATCATTGTGACGAACTTGGCAGCCCGGAATACGAGCTCTTCGTCAAATGCCGGCCAGGGCGCGCACCAGCATCGGCCTAAAGTGGCCGCGGTCGCAGCGGCAACGACTAGCGACCCTTCTACTTCAAACGAGGCTGTTTCGTCTGACGAGGGAGACAGACTCGCAGCTGCCCAATTGGTGGCCGCCCCGCCAAAGGACGAGGACGTGGCAAGCCGAAGACCAACACCAATAGTTCTTCTGGGCCCGGGCAAGCAGCTCCAGTTCACTTGGACAGCGTATGGGCTGATGGAGCGCGGGTATCGCGTCCACACAAAGTACCGTTATTGTTTGTGGTGCAATTGCGCGGCCCATGAGACCGCGAACTGCCCCACAAAAGCCAAGGCCCCTGCTCAGTCGGGAAAGTGAACACCGCAGAGAGTGTTGTGACGACACTCTCGACGCCTTCGGAACCGGTTGCCGGTCGGGTAACCTCCCTCGGTTCCGGGGCACATGCGGACGTCGTAAGTCCTCCTATTCTTCATTCTTTCGAGGATTATGCTGCCCGGCTCGTACGTTCGCTGGATTCACGAGCCCAAGGACAGGATGTATGTGCGGTCTCTTCTCCGATCGGAAGCAACAACATTGATTCGTCTTTAAGTGGACCTTCACGGGATTCGGCGCGCGCGTTTAACATTGAGGATTTGGACCTGTTGACGCCCGAGGATTTTGCATGGCTTCCTCTCCCTTCCACCGGCTGCTTACCGGAGCCGCAATGCGCAGCTCTTCGCGCTCATTTGCATACATACCTAGCCTTCTATGCACCACCAGCTTCGCCTACGGAGGACGAGGTCGCGGTGGGGGACATCCTTGCGTATGTGAGCAAGGTGACCCACGAGTTTCGCACGCAGCGGTACGACGACAACAACGCACCGCTCCTTTATGTCCGCATCCAAATCGGGCAAGCGTCCTGCAGCGCTTTGCTGGATAGCGGCGCGACTCGCAACTTCATTAGCCAGTCCTTCATGCAAAGGGCCGACCTTGGACCACAAGTTCGAAGGAAGGCACACCCCACGACGATCAAGTTGGCGGACGGTCAAATGCAATAACTCCTTGTTCGCTACATCCAAGCCGTCCCGGTTTATTTCGCACCTCATGCATGCGAACCGGTGACGTTCGACGTCTTGGACACGGATTTCGACATCATTTTGGGCATGCCTTGGCTCGCAAGTGCGGATCACACGGTCAACTTCCATCAGCGGATACTTACGGTTCGCGACGGGTTCGGCGCCGAAGTACCATGTACGATTCCTCCTCCGCACCCCTCGATCCGGTGCCAAGTTGTAACCGCCAAGTCTTTTCGGGCCACTTGTGCTTACGAGCGGACCGAAGAGATCGGCTTATGTTTTCTTCGAACCGTCGCGGTAGCCGACTCTCAACCTACGGACTTGTCTTTAGACCCCCGAGTGGTGCGGTTGCTCGACGAATTTGCCGACGTCTTCGAGTCACCTACTGGCGTGGTGCCGGATCGGCCGATCTCACACGAGGTCATTCTTGAGGCTGGTGCCGTGCCGCCGAAAGGTTGCATTTACCGCATGAGCGAGGAGGAACTTACAGTACTCCGCGCGCAGCTCGACGACTTGTTGGACAAAGGTTGGATCCGACCTAGTAGCTCACCCTATGGTGCGCCGGTTCTCTTCGTTCGGAAGAAGAACAAGGATCTTCGCCTATGCATCGACTACCGCAAGCTCAATGCGCAAAACGTCAAGAACGCGGGACCTCTTCCTCGTATTGACGACCTTCTGGAGCGCTTGGGCGGCGCGGATTTTTTTTCCAAATTGGATTTGAAGTCGGGATATCATCAAATCTCGATTCGGCCGCAAGATCACTACAAGACCGTGTTCAAGACACGGTACGGGCACTTCGAGTGGGTTGTTATGCCTTTTGGACTCACCAACGCCCCGGCAACTTTTCAAACGGCAATGACCAGCGAGTTCTACACAATGTTGGACCGGTTCGTGCTGGTCTACTTGGACGACATCCTCGTCTATAGCCGGACCTTGGAGGAACATCTTGACCATCTTCGACAAGTGTTGGAGACGCTTCGGCGCGCCAAGTTCAAAGCCAACCGCGACAAGTGCAAATTCGTGCGTCAAGCGTTGGAATACTTGGGCCACTTCGTCACTCCACAAGGCATCAGTCCGTTGTCAGACAAGATTCAAGCCGTCCAAGATTGGCCGAAGCCGCGGAACGTCACGGATGTCCGATCATTCCTTAAAACCTACTCGAAGATCGCGGCTCACTTAACCAAGCTTCAATGCGAGGACCGGCCGTTTGACTTCAGGACGGACGCGCGGGAATCATTCTTGGCCCTCAAGGCCGCCTTGCTTTCCGCAGAGGTATTGCAGATTTACGACCCGCTCTTGCCAACACGCGTCACCAAGGATGCGTCCGGCTATGGCATTGGTGCCGTCCTCGAGCACATGACGGCGTGGATTGGCACCCGGTCGAATACTTCAGCAAGAAGGTGCCACCCGTGCACTCCATCGATGACGCACGCAAGAAGGAACTTCTTGCCTTCGTTCACGCACTCAAGCAATGGCGGCACTTCCTCCTTGGTCGACGCCAGTTTCGATGGGTAACGGACAACAACCCGTTGGTCTTCTACAAGTCTCAAGACACCGTCAACAGCACCATCGCCCGTTGGATGGACTTCATCGACCAATTCGACTTCTTTCCCGATCACATTCCGGGGAAGTCGAATCGTTTCGCGGATGCCCTTTCCCGGCGTCCGGATCATTGCACCGCGGTCTACTCAACCTTCGAGATCGAGGATGACTTGCGGGACAGCTTCATCCGCGGCTATCAAGCCGACCCCGAGTTTCGCGACAAGTACGCAAACTGTTCCTCTCCCAATCCGGCGCCTTCGCACTATCGGATCCAAGAGGGATACTTGCTTCTTCACTCGCGGGGGAAGGATCTACTTTGTGTGCCGCAAGATTCACACTTGCGCACGCGGCTTCTTGGCGAGTTCCACGACGTCCCTGCCACCAGACACTTTGGAGTCAATCGCACGATTGGCCGACTACGTGAGCGCTTTTGGTGGCCCGGTCTCCTCGATGACGTCACGCGCTATTGCGAGTCATGCGAAGTTTGCTGACGTTGCAAATCTCGCAATCATCGTCCGTACGGTGAGTTGCGACCGTTACCGGTCCCCTTGCGCCGAAGGGAAGCGATTGCCATGGACATCACCGGGCCGTTCCCCAAGCACAAGACGGGCGTGGACGGGATTCTCACGGTGGTTGACCGACTCACCAAGTTCGCCATGTTCTTGCCTTGCCGCTACCATGCCAAGGCACCGGAATTGGCCGAGGTTCTCTACGTCGGTTGGATTCGAACCAAGGGTTACCCCAAGGAAATCGTGTGCGACCGCGACACTCGGTTCATGTCCGACTTTTGGTTGGCGCTCATCAAGCGATGGGGCTCTTCCCTCAAGCTAAGTTCGGCTCGCCACCCCCAAACCGATGGCCAAACGGAGAGGGCACATCAGACCGCACAGGTCCTTCTTCGAACTCTCATCCGTCCCGACCAAAAGGATTGGGTCGAGCGGCTGCCGGATGTGGAGTTGGCTTACAACTCGTCCATCCATCCGGCTATCGGGATGTCACCGTTCGAGTTTGAGCATGGCTTGCCGGTCAACTCTCCGTTGGACACAATCATGCCACGGATGACCGAGGGCGACAACCACCTTCTCTTCATTCGTCGGATGCAAGAGCTTCTTGTCAAGGCATGTGACCAGATGTCGAAGACGCAGCAACGCATGCGCCAACAGGCCAACCGCCAGCGTCTTCCTTGTCCATTCCGCGCCGGCGACCTGGTATGGGTTTCCGCTGCGGAATTCAGCCTCGAGCAAGACATCTCTCGCAAGCTCCTTCCGAAATGGATGGGGCCCTGGCCGATCTTGGCACCCGCCGGCGACGCACCCGAAGGCCCTTCGTTTATCATTCGGGTGCCCGAACACTTGCCCGTCAACCCGGTCTTTCACTGTTCAAAGTTGGCTCCCTACACGCCAGCCGAACTTGACGACTTYCCCGGGYGACGATCGCAAGAMCCGCCYTCAATGGACGGCTTCCAAGAGATCGGCAACATCRTMTCCCACCRACGACATGGCAACAAACCRACCGAATTYTTGGTTCACTTTGCATATTGCACGCATAGAGCTGACCGATGGCTGACTCGTGCGGAACTTCAGGCAACAGCGCCCGATGCTCTMGCACGCTATGAGCAGAAMYTGAAAGGCAAGCYGGCACCTYCGGCTCCCCGACGCACACGCGTCCAAGTACCGCCTTCGGATCGACAGCTTCGCCCCCGACCGGCTTGACTTCATAAGGAGGGGGGGGTGTTACATGCTGCGCCTGCACACGGGCCCCATTTGAGGGGCCCGACGGTTGCTTTGAGGCCCCCAGGCCGCACGCTGCACCGCACGTGCCCTGAAAGCCCACGGCAGCCCTACGGGCCAGAGTAGGTAGTAGTTATTTTTATTTATTTCTACTTACCTTTCTTTTGTGTGTGTGGGCTGTCCCATTTTTGTCTGTTCAGGTACCGTTCCGGACGAACAGCCCCAAGGCCGACCCTTGGGGCCAGGTGCACCTGCAACAGGCCGAAACGGGGCCAGGCGCATTTTGGCGCCAGACCAGTAGGCCC